CGAACCTTTTAGCCAACCCAATACTTAAATGAATTTCCTTCCCAAGAAAGTAAATGGGCATTGTTGAAATGAAAGTTGGAGCAAAAACTCCAGCATGTTACACAAGATGTCCTACATACTGTACCAGTTCATTACTCCAATAATAATGGAAACAGTAAAAATTGCTTTTTTAATTCCGAAACGACAATAGATTAAAACGTTTCATGAAAGTTTAATGAGCGTAAAAAAAAGAAACGAGCTGACGTTCTGTTTCTAGGAATTCGTTAACAATACCCTGTCTGCCGCGCGAAAGACTCCATTGAACCTGGAAATACGAACAGAAGTATTTTCAGAATTTTTAATTGTGTAGCAAAAACTATTATAAACGATCACAATCTGTACGGAACATGCGTTAGATATTCAGTAAAAAATTGCTACATATTAAATACACGTTTGATCTAATCTGTTGAATTATTCTCACTCATGAATACTTAATTATTCCAAGCAGTGCACGTTCTTCATTTAAATATATATACTTTTTAATTTGTTAGGTAATATCGTACGCGTCGAGTCTAATAAATATAATTCACTGGCTAATTTCCAAATTGTTTCAAATTGAATGTAATCTTCTTTTGTAACATTGAATGTCACAGTAATACAAAGGATGCAATTTTCTTGTTACAAGTGCATTATGTAGTTTAAATTAAACAACACGTGAAATTATTTATTTATAGTCGACGGATCGTTTGAAGCTCTGGCCGTTTTCCAAATATGAAATAATCTAGGTACATATCAAATAGCGTTCTGAACATATTTTTGCATTTCTGGTTCGTAAATAAGGTACTGATCAGGAAAGAGCATACGTTATACTAAAGCATTGATGTAACACGTGGCATTCTCTTTGTCTAATAATAGACTGTGCTCCGAAAATTATTAAGTAACCTTTTATAAAGCATTGGACGGATAAGTAACTACTTTAACTGTTTTTTATCTGTCTATGATTACGTGTTCCTAATGATACTTACAGATCACGCTGTTATATAAGAGAATTGAGCATTCGTATATTTTGGTTAGAATTTTGAATATTTCACGAAGGGAAGTAGATGATTAAAATTTAAATATTTAGTGTTTTCATAAATAATGCGACCTTCTTCGAAATTGTTTAACCGATTTGCAATGCTGATTTTGTCTATCTAATTGCATTCTCTATGTATATATTATATACATTTTTTGTCACTGCAATTACATTACTTCCTTTTTTTCATTCGTACATAAATTCAGTAAAACGTGTTGAATGTATACTTTCATCGCTTATAATTTGCAATTTAAGCTTTTAAAATAAGCGAAAGATTTGCAATCGTCAAACTTTGTTCCATTAATTCTATTTAAGTAGAACGTATTAACAAAGTTCCATAATAAATTCTAACACTTGTATATAAAATTTTATTGCTTTATTTCATAGTCGCCGGAGAAACGTATTATGTACTTTTGGACCAATTTAATATTTCGACCATAGTAATCTGTAAAATTCGTAATACGTGTACCGATGAATGGCATATTCATTGGAAAGGTTAAGGCCACTTGCAATTTATATTCAAGAGCATATTGTACACTAAAGACAGTTTCGTCCGGAGTTCTGTATGACTATACACTATTACACTTATGTAAAAATAGCGCTGATCGAAACCGTATCATTTAACAGAGAATGATACCAGCAAATAGGATAAAGTGAACGTTTTTTTAACTAAATTTTATATTTAAAGAATATCCAAACATTTGATCATTTATTAAAAATATTTCTTTTATTATCTAAGCAATAATAATATTTTTTTAATCATCTTTCATTAGAAAAGTTCGCCCTATTGCATTATAACTCGGAAGAATAATTATCGAAATAAATTCGAGTTGAATCAGTACAGGTCGCAATAAATATTTATCTAAATGATACTTTAGTTTAAAAAATGTTTTCAATCAGTAAGAACAGAACAATCAGCATTGATCGTTTGAAATGCCGTTTTTGATTGGTTAACTAGTCGAATGTATTACTTATTAGTAATCGTTTACTCTCAATTTGCGGTCTTCAAACTCTTAACGAACATTTGAATTACAAAATTGTTACATCGATTATTGCTCCTACGTTAAATAGTCTATCAAATGATTCTTTCTATTCTTGACCTTGTATGAACTTGAGTAGCATTACGTTACGTGTGACAACCGCATGTGTGTAAGATAGAAGAAACTTTAACTTTCCAATAAAAAGAACTCTGTTCACATTCAAAGCTTTATTGTAAATTTTCAAAATTTATTTAATTACAGTGCACCCTTTCTAAAAGCTAGTGACGCGTTTTCTATTCCATTAAATTAATAAATAAATTTTTATTCATTCTCTTATAGAAAACTACTGTAAATTTTCAGAAATCTAGTCGAGTAAATTTTTTACTATTTTTATTAAAAGTTACGAACGAGCCAATTTAACCTCTGCAGTAGTTCTAATGTTAACTTCGTCCTATGACATTTTTCTCTATCTACAAGCGTTTTAGCTTGCCTCCGTTCTGTCGAATACTCTATTTATTAAGAATGAGGTCTATACAGAGTATTGATTACATAGGCTTCACATCGATATCGTTCCTCCATAAAGAAAAGAGTGTTAACTTTGATTGTCTCGAAACACGATTTTGGCAGATTCTCCCGTATTTCAAATAACGATGAATATCGAAATGGAACAGGACCATCTCGGTCAGTGTTCCCTTTACCTTTTTCTGTAGAGATTTCACCTCGACCTAATTCCTCATATACGTCGCAAAACGCGGTCGCACATCGATGTTTGCACCAAGCTTCACCCACAAGCTTAGCGCTATGTATCTAGACACTTCTGTATCGCTAGGTAAACAATCAGTCATCTGGTCGGATAGAAACAATAGATAGTGGAATAATACGTGAAATACCACGGTGTTCTGAAAACACCGAAGAAAAAGTTTTACGCAGTCGTACAAACTAATAATTTTAATACATATTTTCGATCTATTCTCAGTGGGTAAAGCTATTTTCGCTGGGTCTGTCTAATGTCTCTCTCTCTGAGAACATAATGACTTGAAAATAAAAAGGTAGAAAAGTAGAAAACATAACTCAAAAGTTTTGGATCATAACAGATGAATTGATTATTAAGATATTATTTTTAGAAATAATAGGTATAGCGTTACAATAGTTAATTTAATTCTTTTATTTTGAAAAACGTGTCCCTCTTGTCCCAGATTGTATAACACGTCGTTAATAAGATACTTTAATTGAGAACGAAATTAAGAAGAACGAAGAATTAAAAAAAAACGTGTATAATCTACAATATATTATTCAAATGGTATGAATATAGGCCTAATTTCGACACGCTATCGTTGAACTGAGTTTATCGATGTAATAACCACAAAATACTCTGCCAAAAATAAATCCGTCCTTGGGAAGAGATATTTGAAAAGTTATTACCGTGCATCTTTCTATTGCAGATCTATCGCACGAGACTCGCGAATACAACAATAACTGGTTTGCATGAAGATGTCAATCACAATAATTTTTTGTAATTCAAGTTTTACGGTGATTTTCCCCAAGGTCTGCATTCTGATAATGAACTTTAACGCGTGACCCCGTAACCTCGAGGTGAAGCTCATGATTTATTAGAGTTCTCATGGTCTTCGATGCTCTCCGATAAAGAAAACGATATCTACAGCATTTGAATATTCGAGTGTGCTTCGAATCATACATTCTGAATTATAACTTTCGCTCAGCATTTATAATTATTCGCATTATGTAATATTATCGAATCTAGTTTCGTATGAATTATTTAAAAAAATGTATAAAAAATTGATAGAATTAAATACTATGAATATTATAGATAAATAACTAAAATATAATTATAATATAAATACGTAAATATAATAGATAATTTGTATTAACAACAGAAGGTTTTTTTCTTATTATTATTATTAAAATACTCTACGTTGGGATTTTTGTACTTCCAGATAGAATTCATTTGATGTCCTTCGCGTGTAAGCTCTATTAATCAAATGATCATTATGTGTTATTCCTTTATTTTACGACGTAAAATTTACGTAATCTAGCAATGACACACAATTGTCGTCGAAAAGCAATACGACGATAGTTGGTAGATTCATAACGAGAATTCATCTGTATTTTTATTTATTAATTTAAATAGGTACTAATTCTTTTCTTTCACAAATTATAACAAACTAAACAAATAATTTTAATTTATTATCACGAATTGGAAAAATGAAATGCATACTCGTTTTATTATTATTCCAAACACAACGTTTGAAAGCACAAGAAAGTATCTCGTTACTAATTTAATTTATGGAATAATGAACTTACCAGAGCATGAAGCGCAGAACTTTCATTACCAGATAGCCTCTGCTGATCAAAACAATATCATAATTGACTTTTATCGAAATAATCAAAAGTCAATTACAAGTGATTTTTTATCGAAATTAATGACGTTCATCCGCTCTAAACAGAACGTATTATTACGTCCTCCGTTGTTATAAAAAAAAAAACAAATGAAAATTATTAACAGTGAATAGAAACAAAAAGATGTAAAAGAAATACGAGTTGGTATATTTATATTACTGGAAATTATATATTAATCTACAATGCAAAAACTTGCATAAAGTTATAGATTGCGTGTCGCTCTTTTCTTAACAAAATCATTTGTTATATAGTTGCAGGCAATGTAAAATTATTTCCAATATTATATAAATTACCAGTTCATTATTTTCAATGATGAAAAACTAAAATATTAGATGATAATAATATTTAGCTGGTGGATTATACTTGAATTTCGATTTATTGGCGCATAATAGAAAATAAAAAATTCAATGCTCCATTTCAATTCAAACATTCCTATTGTAAGCAGCCACGTAACTTGTTAATTTTTCATACAAAGAATTGTAGATGAAGCGATATAACAATTTTAAATCCATTCGATCATCGATTAATTGTCCGCATTTCTTTTTCAGAAATTAACTTCCACAGTCTTCTTGAGACAATTATCCGATAGCTCCACCGATCTGAAGAAAGTTTTAACCGAAAAGATCCCGAAGGAACAAGAACGCGTCAAGAATTTCCGTAAACAGCATGGATCTACCAAAGTTGGCGAAGTTACCGTTGACATGGTATGCACATTATCGTTATGCAATTTCAGATGCATCGCGTGTATCGTAATCGGTAATAGATCGTTTCGACAAAGAAATAGCATAGTATACGACGTTACGTGAGCCTCTCATCACGAAGGAAAGACTTTTTATAGCAAATATAGTGTAACGAGTTACTTTTTTTAAGATTGACAAGAACCGTAACGTGGAATGATCATACGTCGTTGCGTGCTTATCATGTGATCGCTTATCACGAATACGCATATCATTAATTTGCTGCGATACTTCAACTTATTGAAAGCACATGATACAAACTGTCCATTATAAATAGTCTTTTTATTTAATATTAAGTGTAGAAATAATATTTGTGGCAATAAATGTTAATACAAAATCGTTGGACGTAATTTATCTAAACATCTTAATGCATTTTTCAAGTGCGCAAAGTCTTTCGTGCGATTACTTACCCAATCATAGGTACTTATGTAGTAGTAGGTTTTAAAATAAAAAGTTTGAAAATTAGTCATTTTAAAAACAATTTTTTTCAATCGTTTTGAGAAAAAAAAATAGTCTAAATGAAAAATCCATATCCTTATTTATTCAATATCTCTCAACCAGTACGTAATAAAATTGTAAACCTAAAAGTTTCATTTTTATTGCAATTAATTTAAAAAGCGAATTTTGGTTTATCCAATTAAGTATTCGCAATTAATGACAAAAAATGATTTTAAAATGCAAATAAAAAAAACTTAGGATTGAGAGTAATTAAATTTCTTAATAATTGTACGTGTAAGTATTGCAATTACACAATTACTCAAATATGATATTATATTTTTTGTAATAAAGTTTTTTTGAAATTTCCTTTTATCTTTCACGTTAAAAAGTCTTTCCTACGTAAAGCCAATCCTGTTATATTCTCTTGTGTCATATTATTTGCAATTTAATTGTCCCAATATGATATATTCAAATATCATTACTTTGTAGATGTATGGCGGTATGCGTGGAATCAAAGGTCTCGTATGGGAACCATCCGTCTTGGACCCGGAAGAAGGTATCAGATTCCGAGGAAAATCAATCCCCGAATGTCAGAAGCTATTGCCGAAAGCTTCCGGTGGCGCAGAGCCTCTTCCAGAAGGTCTCTTCTGGCTGTTGATCACCGGTGACGTTCCCACCGACGCCCAAGCGAAAGCTCTTTCCCAAGAATGGGCGTCGAGGAGCGCGCTGCCCGACCATGTGGTCAAAGCACTGAACAACTTCCCAAAATCGGTTCATCCTATGACTCAATTCTCTGCGGCCATCACTCTGTTAAACAGCGAAAGTGAATTTGTAAAGGCCTACACCAAAGGTGTACACAAGACCAAATACTGGGAGACCGTCTACGAGGATTCGATGAATTTGATCGCTAAATTGCCAGTAGTGGCCGCCACGATCTACAGAAACATTTATAAGGGTGGCAAAGGTTTGGGATCCGTCGATGCTGGCAAAGATTGGTCCTGGAATTTCGCGAGCATGCTTGGCTACGATAACCCCCAATTCATCGAACTGATGCGCTTATACCTGACGATCCACTCCGACCACGAAGGTGGAAATGTTTCGGCGCACACGACCCACTTGGTGGGTTCGGCGTTGTCCGACCCCTATCTGTCGTTCGCAGCTGGTATGAACGGCCTAGCCGGACCTCTTCACGGTCTCGCGAATCAAGAAGTGCTTGTATGGCTGGAGAAACTCCGCTCTCAAGTTGGAGACAGCCCCAGCGACGACAAACTTAAAGAATTCATTTGGAACACTTTGAAGAGCGGCCAAGTCGTTCCCGGATACGGCCACGCTGTACTCAGAAAGACTGATCCTAGGTACACTTGCCAGAGAGAGTTCGCGATGAAACATTTGCCGGACGACAAACTGTTCAAGGTAAAAATTTTTATACAGTTTAGTCGAAACTACAATTCAGGACACAATGCTAAGAAACTAAAAATTAATTATTCTTACTGGATATAGAGCTGTTCTAAACTTTATAGTACAACCTTTAGGTACACATAGCACTCATAAAAATAAGCAAAAACGTATTAGTAAGAACGAATTGCTGCTTTTAAGTCTCACTCGATAGCTACGAATAAAATATTGAAATATGTGGAACCGTTTCGAGTGACACAATATATAAAGTGTCTTATCATTTTGTCCAGTATTTTGTTCGATAATGTCCTAATAATATTTGAATAACCGTTGCTATTTCTATTTTCAGCTCGTTGCTCAAGTATACAAAATTGTTCCCCCTGTACTCTTGGAAACTGGCAAGGTAAAGAACCCGTGGCCGAACGTAGATGCTCATTCGGGAGTTTTGTTGCAATACTATGGAATGAAGGAAATGAATTACTACACCGTCCTTTTCGGAGTATCGCGTGCTCTTGGTGTCCTCGCTTCCCTGGTCTGGGACCGTGCTCTTGGACTTCCGATCGAAAGGCCCAAATCTCTTAGCACCGACCTCCTTATGAAAGCTTGCAAAGCTTAAACGACAACTTTATTTATGAAAAAAAGAAAAGAATATCAGAATCACTGAAATCTCTTAATTCGTGTCACACCATCATCATAACCTTCAGCAACAAGGAACTGACTGCTTTGTATCATGTTACGAACGTTATCGATGCACGGAAAAAATGTTAATCTCGAACTCATTTCGAATTCATTTTGATTGACTTCAAGGAAGTCGTTTTAACTCTTTCGATTTGAGTCGATTAAATCGCGCAGTGATCCCAGTGGCCGAGGCGTCAGTCGGCCATTACGTTTTCTACAGCATATGGGCCACTCGTCCACTACGAATAATTTCTGAATACCAACTATAGTCATTGTTCGTATCGAAAGAGTTAACTGCCGAGTCTTATTAAGAAGATACGAGGCTAGGTATTAGAAACAATACATAATCATATCACCTAATGATATATTGTTCAAACGTAGACATTCTAAAATAAAAGTTCGTGGTACATTGTATCGTAAAAATGTTAATCTACATTTTTTTCATCCGCTAACGATGTAAATACTGTATACATAAATGAGATAAACTTTTTGTGATATAAGAAACCACGTATGAGAAATATATATTGGTCCAGTATACATAGTTTCAACTGCCAAGCCCTTAAATAAGAACATAATACCATGCGTTAACAGTAGACACGGTTCATTGTAAATATATTTGTCGCTTTATGTTTAACTTAAATAGTGACAATTTTAGAAGTAAAAAAATAATAATAATCGTTGTAATAAAAACTAGTTAATTCACTGAAATATTCGGCAAAAAGGTTAGCTGTGTGCGTAGTCAACATTAGATAGACAATGTCTTAAAATTAAACAGACACTGCCAAAAAGTATCAAAATTTTTAGAATACAATTGAATCGCAATAAACATCTTTACTTCTACTATTGTAGTAAAAAGACATTGCGTGAATTAAATCAATTTCTCCAGCAGAATATTCGCGAAACGCAACTGCTCTTAGTAAACTACGTAAAATAGAAAATAAAATGTATAGGGCTAATGAAATATGTAAACAATATTGCAAGTGTTAGCGCACCAGTTATTGGTTTTAAATTCTGCGAATATGCTAAAAGAAAACTATGGCCCAATTGCAGAGTCATTACAATTTATGTAAATTAAAAAATATGACCAGTGGTAGATCCATTGTTAAAAGAATGAGTGAGTGTGTGCGATACTTCATTTATAACGAACGTAAAAATAAATAGATCATTGAAAATTATACTTATCTATTCCTTTTTTCCATGACTTAGTGCATTGTTTTTTTTCATATAAGTACTTTTTTAAAAGAATGAATAAAAATTTTTTAGCAAGTACTTATTATGTTAATATTGAAGAAAAAAACAAAATACGATAAAATATATTTATTATAATTTAAAAGATTTCATTACAAAAATTGAAAAATTTCTCGAGTCTTTTATATGAAGTAACTAGCTAATGGAGCATGTACATAATCTTTATCATAGTTCAATGTTATTACACCGCGTTCGTCGTCAACAAGATTTAACAATATAAGATGATTAGAAACAAAAAAATAATTAAAGAAAATAGGAAACTGTGTATTAAAGAAATTACAATACATGATTCTTTGCCTATTTCCTGCAAAAGAAAATTTGGTAAATTTATTTTACATTAATTTCAGTCCTTAGTTAAATAACAACCTTGTACGCAATTATTCAATTTCTATTACATAAATTCATTAACAATGACAGAATAATTAGAAGTAAACATTTTTCTGCATCTTTTAATTAGAATTAAATTTGAGCCATTTGTGAAATTTAAATGTGCACAAGCATATCAGACTCATGTGACTTGTGTACAACTCTGATGAAATAAAACAACCTGTAACTTGTACTGCATATTTTTGAATTATTATATAACAAAAACTATTAATGAGAATATATAATAGTATTAAGTATAATTTGCAGTATTATATCATATACAAGACAATTCATTGCTTTGTTTCTCAATATGAGAAAACTACTGTTTGTTTTTATGAAACTTTAAATGTATTATCTCACTCTGGCTTTAGACGGCATTTATCTTTCATACAATGATCTTAACAATTTCTATAATGATTTTTGCATATGCTATTAATATTTTAAATTTTAATAGATATTAAATATTGGAGTATTTCTAGCTACACAAAAGTTAGTCATTCTAATTATGAAGTAAATAAAATAAATGAGACAGCTGTTAATTGGATACTCATGGATTGAAGCATTAAAACGATTCATAATATTTACAATGAGACGATCAGTTTTCTTTTTCAACAAAATAATCTCTTATGTACGTATGTGAAGTACACTTTTTAATACATAGTTACCATTCTTCTACAGAACACAGAGTCAATGTTCCCAACAAACAACCGTCTCACTGTTGAATCCACATATCACAGAGTAGTTAATAGTCTGCTTTTAAATGTTTAGTTAGATTGGTTGAATAACCTAGCCATGAAATTTTACAAGATGTTTGCTGTATCAAGCACTAAAAAAAATGTTGAAACTCTCACACAGAAATTTGAAAAATATGTGGTTTAATTGGTGCTAAATCGGATTTTACTTTTTACAATTGTTTACTATTAATGCGGAGTATAAAAAACTATGTACATAGGTATAGTTTTGGAAGTCGCACAGGCCAAACAATTTCTGTCCGCATATCAATCAAATAGAATGAATAAATTATCTAGTCTTCTTTTACTATAAACATAGGTGGACGGGATCAAGATTAAACTTTATATTTTTCACACAGCATGCAGAATTTTCATTAAAATTTGTTATTAAATCAATAATAATATTTGATTTAAATGCAGCATTTATAGATAAAAGTAGCAAAATATAATAAACTTGTAGGTAATGTATTCAATTTAGCATCTCTGCTATAGAATGTTCAAATACACATCTTTCTACACACAGATTAAAAAAAAGTATTCTCTATACATACTCCTCTTAATACAATACCCTCCATAAAGGACTCCTGCCATTCTAAATCTTTTCCATTTCTTTTACAATACGATTTCTTTATATATCTTTTACATAAATAATAGTTAAAACATTATTTTACTCTTATATTATAGATACAATCATTTCCCATTATATTTTCATATCACATTAATAGATAAGACAAAATTTACCCGTCCACCATTTGATACGTTAAGTGTCTGCAGCAAAAATTGTAATCAACATATGCAGTTACACTTTAAGTTATGCATGAAGCTAGTGTACCATTTGAAAAATGATCATTCATTCTCATTTCATTTGTACAATCGTTAAAGTGGCACAGTAACTTACAATGAACATATACTTTACATTTTAGATATCTTATTACATTTAAAATGAGTTCTCATAATGTACGTCATGTTTTCTTTAAATGTCCAACAATCCATTCGAGACCTGGATAAAGCCTAAAATATTGTAGACAATTAAACTGTGTTGCCATACAAACTAATGGAATTACAACAACAAGTTATAATCTTACCCTTCTCCAGTAAGTGCACAACAACTTTGTATGTGCCACTGATGTTTTTTAATCGATGTCAAATCCAGCTGTCTAGAAATTTCAGCAGCTGTCATGCTGTCTCTTAAATCTTGCTTATTAGCATAAACTAAAACATTTGCTTTACTTAATTCTTCATGATTTAGCATCGAGTATAATTCTTCTCTGATTACACCAAGTCTTTCCCTATCTGTACTATCTATGACCATAATTATAAATTCGGTGTTAGTGTAGTAAGTGGACCATGCAGCTCTTAGACTTTGCTGCCCACCCAAATCCCACATTATGAAATGGATATTTTTCCAAATTATTTCTTCAACATTAGATCCAATAGTTGGTGATGTGTGAACAACTTCATTTGTTAGAAACTGGTACAATATAGTTGTCTTACCAGCATTATCCAAGCCTACCATAACTATTTTATGTTCTGAAAAATAAAACAACATATTTATAATTATTTAATTATCAACAAAAAGTATTAGTACTATTGTATGATTTGTAATAAAATTCAAATGTATATTCTATAAACAACGTTTTTGTACTGTAAAAAGACTGCATAAAATATTATATAAGAAGTAACGGAAAAAACATATGTTAGCATATGTTTAAAGTAGGATAACATAGGGTTTAACCAAATATTTCATATTACATATGAAATCAGTTATATTAAACATAAAACATAATTCTATTTTTTTAAATAATTTATTAGAGCATGCATTAGAAGTACAAATGTTTGTTTTAAATTTTCTATTGCAAATATTATATAAATTTCTTAGTGATCTTAGTGATTGGAATAGACTTTCACTTTATTTTTAAGGTGTAAACTTTATAGAAAACAATCATGAAAACAACAGAATGTAATCTATATTAGACTTACTATCAATATTATTACATATCATAAATTACATTTAACAAAAATGATTCATAAAATTTGTAAAATTTATGAATCATTTTTTTATATATTTTATGAAGACTGAAAACAATAAATATACAGTTACTATTCATAAATATTTAACATGTTTGAAAAAAACGTGTATCGTTTTTACGAATTATTAAACACGAATAAATTTCAGTAACATTTTTCATATGACAACACAAAGCAATAGAATAATTGTGACACAATACTGTTAGTACATTTGCTAAATTTACCTTCATTGCCAAAAAGACTCCACAATTTTGCGAATAATAGTCCCATATTGCTAGAAGCACTAAATAATTCGGACGATAATATTTATTTAGTTGTATCACTGCACAGTCTTATTCTCGATAAAAATGATGTATTTGACTTCAGAATTAGGGCATCTCATTGTCGTAGGGTTATGTTCACCTTTCCATGAAGTTTTTTTCCAACATGTTTTTGAGAAATTAGCGTCATTATTGGCGCATTAATGTGTAAAAAATATACTTGAGAATCGCTGCGAACTGCTGAAAAGTCACTAAGTAATACTAATATGAAAGAAATATACGAGGACCTTCCCTAATCTAATCAAGCAAATCGCGACATGTTGCGTTTCCAATTAAAACATCCATACGTCCGATCGGTCCAATCATCTTTCGGCAATACCTGAAAATGACGTCAGTCTTGTATCTACTATACAATGATTGGAGGTAAAGAATTTCTGATCAAGCGCGCGTAAAATAATGTCACCCTTTAAAATTGTTAGTGCACAGTCGTGCAAGATTAAGATTATCTAGTTGATTTTGCTGAATCATTGTAGATTCTCATTATTTCTACAATGAAAAAATAAGTAACTATTTAGATGCATACTTCTTAACCTTAGTATTACGTTTATCTGGCAATAAATATTAATAAATTGCAAATACTTCATGTGGCATTACATTAGAATAAATTACGAGTACTTATTGCAATATAGTCGTTCATTTAACTGTCCTCATACTTCCTTTACTAAGAAAAGAACCTATGTTGCATAAGATAAAATGTAATCTGGACTTTAAAATATATAATTTCTTTATAAACGATTATAAAATTCAATGAAATTAATTACGTTTAATTAGATGCCCCTAAATTATGGTGTAAACTTTATGTAAAATTTTCTCATTTTTATTTATAATGTAAAACGGAACTGTCGACATACCAATAAAGTTTTTAGGAAAATTGTGTAACAAAGTACGTAAAAATTCGAATTTGTGTTAAATCATTGTATAATATTATATGGCGTTTAAGGTATATTTTTGTAGTAGTGAAGTTATGAAATTTTTATATGTGTGTGAGTAATGGTGTTCACATAGTGTTGACTCCCATGCTGACCTTGGGTGCGTTGTGATTGGTCAGCGAGACGTCGGCTGATGCCGAAGATACTTGAGAATGAATGCTCATTCTCGATCTTCCCGGTAAAAACGTTTGACCACTTGTTGCTCTTTCACATTACGCTAAAGAGAACGAATTTCTCGCATTCCATTTCATCGGCATTTACTATTCATTAAAATGAGCAAACCGTAAGTAATTTTCCTATTATATTTAGTAAAGTTTTAATTAAATTTATACTTAAAATTATACTTTTACAAAATTCATTTTTCACTCTTCTTTTTTGTGAAAGTAAATCAAATATGTATGCATTTACATTGATTTATAAAGCAATATTACATCATCAGAATTGGTTTGTGAAGATTTCATCATGTAATGTCTTGTACTTTACGTTATTGCATTTTTCATGTAATTATATGTGATTATGTAATATATAATTGTCGATGCCCATGCAATTTTATTTTATAGAGTTGCAGATATTGCCCTCATTGGCTTAGCCGTCATGGGGCAAAATTTAATCCTAAATATGAACGATCATGGATTTGTTGTTTGTGCATATAATCGTACAACGGATAAAGTAAAATCTTTCCTACAAAATGAAGCTAAAGGCACAAAAGTCATTGGTGCATATTCCTTAAAAGAAATGGTAGATAAATTAAAATCTCCAAGGAGAGTAATGCTTTTAGTTAAAGGTAAGTTATGGTTATGTACCATGTATCATAGGACATTTGAAGTTTGACCTTGTAGTATATTCTTTATCCTGTAGTATTGGAAATCTATATTTGATAAGATTTAGTTTATATAAGATACATAAAAGTTCTTAATATGACAAGGTTTTATTTTGTTTTTACATAATGGAAATAATATATACTTATTTATCATATTAAAAGCTGGTGCTGCCGTGGATGCATTTATTGAACAGTTGGTTCCTTTACTATCCCCCGGAGATATTATTATTGATGGCGGTAATTCTGAATACCAAGATACTGAAAGACGAACTAAAGATTTAGAACAGATAGGAATTTTATTTGTTGGTAGTGGAGTTAGTGGCGGTGAAGATGGTGCTAGGTATGGACCGTCTTTGATGCCAGGTGGAAATCCAAAAGCTTGGCCACATATTAAACACATCTTTCAGGTGCGTAAAATATGATCGTTTGTTTAATAAATTTATGAGACAATTATATTATATCTTAAACCGATATAATATTCATTTTTTAGTCGATATCTGCAAAATCTAATGGAGAACCGTGTTGCGATTGGGTTGGAGAAACAGGTGCAGGGCACTTTGTAAAAATGGTACACAATGGTATTGAATATGGTGATATGCAACTTATTTGTGAAGCATACCATATTTTGAGGAATGGTTTGAACCTTAAACCAGACGAGATGAGTAAAGTCTTTGATGAATGGAACAAAGGAGAACTAGATTCATTCTTAATTGAGATCACTCGAGACATTCTTAAATACAAGGACGCGAAAGGTTATTTGCTTGAGCGAATTAGAGATACAGCTGGTCAAAAAGGAACTGGCAAATGGACAGCTATTGCTGCATTAGAGTATGGAGTTCCTGTAACGCTAATTGGTGAATCAGTTTTTGCCAGATGTCTTTCTGCACTGCAAAGTGAGAGAATAGATGCAAGTAGCATATTAAAGGGTCCAGATGCTGTATTTCAAGGTGATAAAACACAGTTCTTGGTGCATTTAAAGAATGCTCTGTATGCATCCAAAATTATTTCCTACGCACAAGGATTTATGTTACTACGGGAAGCTGCAAAAGTTCATAATTGGAATTTGAATTATGGTGGTATAGCTCTTATGTGGAGGGGAGGATGTATTATAAGAAGGTACATCTCTATTTTATTAAATCCTATAGCTATTCAAATAATGATTTGTTTGTTAACATTTCAAAATAACCTGTAATTTTAACTTTTAGTGCATTTTTGGGAAATATAAAATCAGCATTTGACAAAAATCCAAAACTTTCCAATCTATTGCTCGACGATTTCTTCGCTAACGCGATGAAGGAATGTCAAGCCAGTGCTAGAGTAGTAGTGTCCACTGCCGTAACACTTGGTATACCAACTCCTGCTTTGTCAACTGCTCTTGCTTTCTATGATGGCTATAGAACTGCTCGACTACCAGCCAATTTACTTCAAGCTCAACGGGATTATTTTGGAGCTCACACTTATGAATTACTTAATCAAGAAGGAAAATTTGTACACACAAATTGGACAGGACATGGTGGTAATGTCTCTGCTTCCACGTACGATGTATAACAATCAAAACATTTTTTGTAACATTTTATAAGAGATTGTATATATGGTGCGATATTAAGGTTACTATTATGGTTAAAAGATAGTTTAATACATGTTATATATCATAATGTATGAATTATGAAAAATTGATAAAAAATATTTATGTTGAAAACACACAGTTTTGTTTAAAAATATATATTAAGTGTATTACTGTATATATGATTATCTTACTTTAATATATGGAAAAGGAAAGTAACATTGTTGAATCACTGATTTATATTTATTTCTTTTATATTTTTTCTTTGCTCATTATTGGTATTAATATAAATGAAAGTCAATGTAGTATAGATGATGAATGTAGATGTAATGATTAACCTATTTTTACAAGAAGGTAAAAGGTGAAATGTTTCATTGCCTATATGTCGAGAAAGTTATTGCGAGAAAATGACTAGAGCATGACTTGTTAAGTTGCTGAGTAATGGGTACGTGAAATTAATGCGGAAGTAATCCAAACTAACCTACCTTTTGTTATGATTACTTATATCACATTTTTAATAAAATTGTGATATATACATATATATATTCATGCGTTTAAATACTTCCTTTCATGTAATAATAAAACTTAGAAAACATATTTTTTATTAATACAATTTAACGGGGAAACAATGCACGAACAATAGTATCTGCATCGACTAAAATAGAAATCTGAGTAAAAATAATTTCGCGCCATGAGTCACCAAAAGTTAAATAAAACTTTAGAAAACTAAGAAATATACGTATCTAACTTTATTAAGTATTGTTTTCTTTTAAATACAAAAACATAATTAATTGGTATAATTATACTAGAAAATTATTCGAGCTATTAATATTGTAAGGTAACATAGAAATTGATTTATTCCAAAACTAGTTAGAATTGTGTAGAATTTAAAAAAAAAGTTTTTTGCTTGTACTTGCATGAAAACAAATTTTCAAGGATATTAAGAACATACGTAAAATTGTTAGATTTGTTTTCTTGCAAAATAAATATAAAGAAAATAACATTTGAAAATTGATAGCATGGAACTCTTTTTAAGCCGTCCCTGGAACGTTTTGGTTTTACTGACCGTAGACGGGCGACTTAGTCTCTGCAGCGTTCATTTGCAAAATGGCTGACCACAAGGAAAGGGATTCATATTATTCGCAAACGGATTTACGATCGAAAAATGATGATCCACCGAATTCACGTTTATTCGTTATATGCCACAAAAGTTTAGAAGAAGATGATCTCAGGAAAGCTTTCGAAACATTTGGAAAAATCGAAGATATTTGGGTAGTTAAAGACCGGAATACAGGCGAAAATAAAGGTAATTTCTCGTATCTAGAGACAAAATCAATAATCTTTTTACTGTTTTTTAATTTAGCTTATACATGTCTTTTGCATTTTTAGTTTATCAATATATTTCTTTTGTGGCTTTACACTATTCACACATTTCTTATACATTATTCGAAATATTTATTAAGTCATACGTATTGTTTATATAGGAGTTACATACATTAAGTTTTCGAAAACATCAGAGGCAGCTTTTGCTCTTGAAGAAATGAATGGAAAAATGTTGGGTTCAGTTGGGAGACCTATCAAAGTAATGATTGCTTCGAAGTAAGGATGTCAAGTATTAATTTAATTGTCTTTTAAACATTAATTTGATATTCTATTTCTATGTTAACATGCTCATGTATATATTCTTTCTAGTCGAGATCAGGGCTCTGTGAGAGAAACTAACGAAGAAGAAAGGTGGGTTCGTCTGTTTTGCGTATTACCAAAGTCTATGACAGACAATGAACTTCAACAAGAATTTTCCAAATTTGGACCTATTGAATACGCGACTGTGGTCAAAGATAGAAATACAAATGAATCAAAAGGTTTTGGTTATGTGAAATTTAAAAAAGTATCAAGTGCCGCGAGTGCATTTGAAGAATGCGATAGAAAATACAGAGCTGTATTTGCAGAACCTAAAAAACCAAAACCTGAACACATCGATGTAAAATATAATAATGAACTATCTTCTCATTACGATGGCATTGGCGGAGGTTATAGTTCATCTAATTTTGGAAAGAGTAGTATTAGTTTAGAAATTGCTACGAATTATCCTAATTCTGAAGGATATACGCACTTGCAAGTAATTGCTCATCCAGCATTAAATCAAGATCAATTATGGAAATTGTTCGATATCGTACCTGGCTTAGATTATTGTCATTTAAAGAATGATGTCAGATATAGAATGCCAAGGGGTCAGGCAGTTGTAGTGTACTCAAATCCTAGCGCAGCAGCGTATGCAAGAGAAAAATTTCATGGTTTTGAATATCCTCCTGGTCACAGAATGATAGTTAAACCAGATTTGTCTAGTGTGCCTCCAAAAAGTGTTGTAAAACCTGGAAGTTCTACTGGCGGAATAGCTAATGCTAGGACAGATTTAGCTCATTTGGCAGAAACAATTGCTCAAGCTACATCTTTAATTCAAGCTGCAGGACTAACTGCACCAAGTGAGGGCTTACCTTATCTATGTAATATGGTAATATTTAATTTTATTGCATAATTATGTTTCTTTATAATTAGGTCTAGAACATTCAATGTGTGATAAGTTACCACCTGCACAACCAATGGCTAGTATAGACGCAGAGGTTGCTAAAAGATGCTTCATTGTATGTGGGCCTCCGGTACCACCTATATATGCCATGAAGGATGCTTTCTGCAGGTTTGGAAACCTTATAGACGTTTATATGCTGCCAGGGAAAAATTGTGGTTACGCAAAGTATGCTAGCGTAGAAAGCGCGAATGAAGCAATCGAGGTATGTGTTGTAATATTTTTACTCCTACGTTCAAGCTATATTTTAAGATACACTTTTAATAACGAAGTTTACTAAGTGGAAACTACATTTAAGAAATCAGTTTGATCGTGAAATGATACATTTTCACGATAGGTTCTGCACGGACAAGAAATTTGTGGTTCTCGACTGAAAGTGCTAGAAGCTGAAGAGCGTAACGTCGGTGAAGATCGTAGAAAACGACTACGAATGGATGAAGATGAAAATTAAATATTTTTGTATACCTCGTAAGTACATCGCTGAGCACATGGCAAAGAGAAAGAAAGTGAGGAGAGAAAAGGAGAGGCATTTAAATATTAACATCCTGACGTTGTAACTGACGATTACCATACTCGGAAAACAGGAGAAAATGTAATTTTTCTATTTGTCTTCACAGACTGACTGGTATACACAAGCTGGACGCACGCAATAAAAGAGACGAATTTTAAGACTCACTTGACCACGTCGGGCCCGCATCCAAGGAAACTACTCCAACTACCTACTTTTAACTATCGCTTACGTTCGCGATTTCAACGTTACTGAAACTTTAACGATACTTTACTTTATCCTTACATATCGTTACACATACACCTGACTTCCTGATTTTATTATTTTAAGAGGCCTGTGCGAAAAGTAATCTTAAAGATTCGATTTAGGAATATGTAGAACACACAAAACTAGATAAATTTGAAACTTCTTCCTTTAGCATAAAGAAGTTATATGACGCAATATACTTGAGGCGTTCACTGTTGTTATATTAATATACTACAGGTATTAGACCAGAGGTAAGAGGATTTCTATATATCTATACTTTTATATCAAAATCATATTCAGATGAAAGTTTTTCCCGCTAAATTCTTGAAAAAAGATATATCCTCTATAGATTACGAGAAGTGAGAAAATTTAAAGGAGAAAACAGAAGATGTTTCTCAAAATTTTATGTTCTTGTTTGCGAACAGAAAATAGTAGTTATTTTTTAACTGTTCGCGCAGGCTTTGAAACACAACCTGTACTTTAGAGTTAATAAAACCAACTTTTGTTTATAATTTATATTTAATAGTTCTGTACTATTCTTTTATTAGCTATATTGAATTTTGAAGAAAACGTAAAGTAATTTATTTCTTGCATATATTTCAAGAATCTCCATAACAATAAATCTCGTAGAATTTATTCCAAAACAAGATATATTCTCAAAGTATTATTTACTTTTTGACACTTTGCAGATATAGTTTTACATTTAATAAAGGTTATTTGATGAAAAATATATAATGCGGAACACATTTTTCAAAGAAAATATTTATGTGCATTGAAATTATATAAATCAGACTTAAAATTAAAGTTCTGCAGTTTATTTGCTACATTTTATCAAAGGACGCAGTAATTGTTTTAATGATACATGCAAGTTTAACAATATTTTATTATGTCCTTAGACATAAAATTAGTCTATAAGAAACTGGCAACTATAAGTAACAAAAGGAAAAGTAAACTATCAAATTTTTCATTCAGATGCGAGTACATCTTGTTTTGAAAATACTTCGCTTTATGTATGTTTACATGTATAGATATATTTGCATAAAATATATCACTATGTTATTTTCTACAATTAGGTTGAATGTGATTAAGAGAAATACGTTTTCTTAGGCAATTAATATTACGTCCATAATCACAACTTCGTCAAACACCAATGATTGACGCACAACATGAACGTTTTATGATGGACACTTTTGTACGTGTGTTAGACTGTATTACTTAATGACCATACGCAATGATGTTTTAGGAGACTGTAACTGACTTGTTTGATGATTTTAAATACACATTAAGTATTCAAAACCTCACACTGACTTTCACTTATACACTGAACAGAGTGTCCTGCTATACACGTATATTACTTACTAATCTGACATGTATTTTTTTCTTTCGCTTGCAGGATACCTGAAGCATTCAAAGATGTGTACCTGATGACTGTGATATAGCAGAGTAAGATATTTCTGATATTATGTATATCAGACGCATAAGATACAAAATAATAAATTACAATTTTATATTGTTTCCCCTTTTTATTGCTAGACTAAAAATGTTACATTAATTAGGAAACAGTTGTACTTGTACTTGATTCATTTTTATAATGTGCTTTTAAAGTACACGATATTTATAATTTATTAATTTTCAATTATTTTTTTTATATATTCATAAAAATCTGTACAATAAATCTTTACATAAAAAGCGACACGTTATATTAAAATTCTTCCCGGTTCCTATTCGTAGGCTCATGGACGCTAAATAATTTCGGCCGTTCACCGAACTATTTATTTACCAGTAGATGTCGGAATTGTGCGTGAAGTAAAATTTTCGCGCCCAGTAAATTTTTTTTCCACCGCGAATACCAACGCGAATTTATTGGGAGGAGACTATTTTAATCGCGTTCGGCGTCCGAGAGGCTTAAGTGGGGCACGTTTTGCATCGATATAGGTTAACAGAGAAATAGAGGGGATAGCGCTCACGTGTTACCAAACGTGCTGTGTAATGCGGAACAGCCGCTACACGCGAAAGATATGTGATGTTCGGTGCGGTTTCAGTCTTCATAGATATCGGCGACTGGAACGTAGCATAGAGTGTTTATATTTACTATGAACCAACGGCTAACTTAGTAACAGCACCTGTTTCTTCGCTAATCTAACCGTATTGTTCTATTATAATTAATCGGACGGCACGTCATTTTAAATTATAAATTGTTGACGGTGGTACACGATATATTTAAAACTTTAGTCCCTTTTTTACGATATTGCGGTCATTTTGCCGCCGCGATTTTTCTAACCGGTTTTAACCACTTTATTACTAAGAACTGTAAACATGTCGCGAGAACAGCGAGTTCGTTTAATTTAGCAGTAAGTGCTTGTGACCAAACGGATATCGCCCCAAAGGAACGCTACCCCGGAAAGAAAACAATGGAAGAGGTATCCACTGAAAATGCTAAGGTGTCAGATTCCGGATATTCTAATACCTGCAGCAATTGTCAGTCGCAACGGAGGTACGTGTCGAATTTATTTCGTTTGTTGTGTTTGAACGTCGAACTAGTTTTTCTGTCATACTAACAAAAAAATTACTAAATGATAAAAAAAAAAAATTTATTTAATTTAATTTATAAATAGTTTGAAACTACCGCCTTCGATTTCGAATTACAAATTTTTTTCAACATTGATTCTGATCGATAGATTCGCGTTACACTATACATTTCGTCAATATGATCCACAGGTTGTGCGCGTCACCACGTCACATTATTTTCCCCTCTTTAGGGATATTCTCAATATTTTTTCAAATTATAACAAATATTCAACAATTCAATGGAGTACTTGTTATTTTATGGTATTCTCAATGTCAATGATATTATTCACAGATTTGCAAGTATCAAAGCTCATTTATTGTTAGGGGGTTTGAAGATACGTTGCAAGTTTGAAACGCCACCTGCTATAGCGAAACTTTTTATTCTAACTGAAAATTTCTTTTCATTTTTCGTTTAAAATGTGTAGAACGGCTGAAAACATAACATTTTTCTATTTTCTAGAACGTATAAAATAGTCAATTATTAATTCCTGGGAAAAATTTTAATGGGAGATTCTAGAGGCCAAAATAAGACGAAAATTAAGAATACCAATTTGTTGATGGAGGCTTTGTTAAAAAAGTATTAACGTTTAAAGTTCTGAATTTTTTTCTAAAAAATGCGCAGGATTTCGGGGGTATGTTTATTCACCAAAAATGATTGTAATTGACCCCTGCAACTGACAAGAATTTTTTTAGAACGATTTGAAAGTTTTTACTTTTGTCGAAAAATTTCACACTTTCTCGAATTTTTTTCTCGAAAGTGCGTAGGATTTCGGGTATATGTCTATTCACCAAAAATTATTGTAATTGACCCCTGCAACGGAAAATAATTTTTTTAGAACGATTTGAATTTTTTTTTCGTCGAAAAATTTAGGCACCTACCCCTGTGGTCGATTTATCTTAAAAATTCGTTTTTGATTTTTTGTAATTTTATTTGACGCCCTACAGAAAAGTTGTCTAATACTTTTTTGTAGGTGCCCATGAGCACTACTTCAGAAAAATGTTTCATTGAAATATGTTCACTATTATTGGAGTTATGGCTGTTTGAAAATTGACCCTTTTTTTGGGAGTTTTTCTCATTTTTTGGTGTTAAGGAACAACTTGTCGGAATTTCTTACAATTTCTACATAGTCTACACCGAAACACGAGTTGTTTGCATTTTTAAACATTAAAATCCCCCAATCCGTTCGGGAGTTATCACATTTTAAAGATTCGCATGAAATTTCAGGGAAGCATTTCTTGCCTCACATTAGATTTTCGGTAAGGAATTTTTTTCTTGAAAATGCGTAGGATTACAGGTGTATATGTAATGACCAAAAATGATTGCAATCGATCCCTGCAGCCGAAAATAATTTTTTTAGAACGATTTGAAAAATTTTTTTTCGCCGAAAAATTTCAGCACCTACTCGAATTTTTTTCTCGAAATTGGGTAGGATTTCAGGGATATGTGTATTCACCAAATATGATTGTAATTAAGCCCCACAATCAAAAATAATTTTTTCAGAATGCTTTGAAATTTTTTAATTTAATTTTTTAAAAATGATTAGAAAGACTTAAAAATATTTGTTTTGCAGTAGAATGTACTCCCTTGATTGGAAATTTAGGAAAAGAATTTTGTAAAAGTTTGTTAAGGAATTTTTACAACAGTTGCAAATGATAAAAGATCAAATAAAATTCATGCAATATTTAAAAATGTTTTTATTTTATTTTGCATAGGTTTGTGTTTCGTAATTTGAACTTTTTATACGTTCTCTGTGAAAGCATAATTAACAAGGAGAGTGCAAGTCATACTGTTCAGGAAAATGTACCATTACTCAACAATTTTTTATTTATGTAATACTATTTAATAATGAATTAATTAATTTTTTGTATCGAATATTATTAAAAGATCTTTATTACTTTGCATTCAAGTGTCTTACTGAAAAAGAAAAATTCAATATAGGTTGCTCTTTTATCATTTTCAACAGAAACATATAATAAGTATAACACAATATTAATTAGAATATACAGAAAATTTCAGCTATTCCAAACAGCTTTTCAGTCTTCAGTGTTTTTCTTGATATTTTTACTATTGACAATAAAAATAAAAGTAAAATACTAGGACGCAGTTATTTATTTCACTAAATAATATATTTGTTTTTCTTCTGGTTGAGAATAGTTTGAAAACATTCTAGCAATATTGCAACTATGGTGTTGCAATATATATTAATAACGTATACACATAATAATAACCATTATACCAGTATACAGTGTTTTCTATAATTTAAAACACGCATACGTAATTCAAATATGAATTATATTAAGAGTAATATTATAATGTACATAATATTCCATTACATAAAAATACATTGTTAATGTCATAACATAAGTTCTTTTTATAGAAAGTGGCCAAGACATAATTACGTGCATTTAAAAATAATAAAAATGTGCATATTTTTCAAATACGTTGAAAATTTTCCTGCAACGTTTTTGTAGTGTTTCAGCATATTGCGTGATATTGTAATATATTTACATGTGATGTTAATATATATTTGTAATAACATCTGAGAAATATTTGATAAAATATTTCAAATCTTACGTGAAAATATTTTTGGAATATTCCATTATTACTAAATATAAGGATAAGCAGCGAAACGAGAATATCTTGTATGAAATAACAAACCAAATTGTTAAGATGACCGTATAACATTCTATTTAAATGCTTCATTAATTTGTTCTTATCCAATTACGTGGAATGCGAACGTTTAATGAGCGTTTACCTTAGATCACGCACACTGATTGCTTTTGCACAATAGGTGGAGCTGAGAAGTATATCGCGAATGCTAATTATGGTGCTATTTTTGATAACGTATGAGACAAATGACGGGTAGACCTTGCGGTACATGATCTTTCTCGCGATCTCGAGATGCAGTTTGCCTTGGTTTTCAATCGATCGATTCCAATTTTAACTTCTGTTTTATTTTTGTAACAACTTGGAACATTTGCATATATGTATTTCTCGTTGTAACCCCTTTTCTACTTAACACTTTAATGGCCGCACGTATCACGCGAAGACCGTTGTCCGTCACCACTGATATCGTAGACCAAAGTGAGATACACGAAGATGCTAGAAATATTATTATAAGGAATTATAAATGTACCCTCAACAAACGTAATAAGTTGAATGTATGATGAAATGGTGACTGATACAGTAGATCACGAACACGTGACAGTGGCCAACATCTGCTAGTTCGCAAAATCACGTATACGTGACAGCGGCCGTCAAAGTGTTAACATCCATTACAAATGGACGTTCGAAGTTAATTGAGCAGCACGAATTAAACATAAATATTCTTTGATTCATAAAAACAACTAATCAACGTTTCGACCAAATTCTCATACTTTTCGCGACTACAAATTAAATTTAATTATTTTCACTAGAGATTTGGTCTGCTTTGGTAATAAGACATGTTCACAAAAAATTCTATAAAAATCATAGAGAATGAAATGTTGGAATCGTCCTTTTTACGTCTGGAATTTTAGTTGTTCTTATACAGGGTATTAGGCCACCCCTGGGAAAAATTTTAATGGGGGATTCTAGAGGCCAAAATAAGACGAAAATCAAGAATACCAATTTGTTGATGGAGGCTTCGTTAAAATGTTATTAACAATTACATTCAAAAATTTCAAATCGTTCTCGAAAAATTATTTTCGGTTGCGGGGGTCAATTACAATCACTTTTGGTCATTAGTCATACTCTCGAATTCCTACCCACTTTCGAGAAAAAAATTCGAGAAGGTGTGCAATTTCTCGACGGAAAAAAACAATTTCAAAACGTTCTGGAAAAATTATTTTCGGATGCGGGGGTCAATTACAATCATTTTTGGTCAATAGACATATCCCCGAAATCCTACCACTTTTTAGAAAAAAATTCGAGAATGTGTGAAATTTCTCGACGGAAAAAAAAGTTTCAAATCGTTCTGGAAAAATTATTTTCGGATGCGGGGGTCAATTACAATCATTTTTGGTCAATAGACATACTCCCGAAATTCTGCGCATTTTCGAGAAAAAAATTCTGTACGGGTGGAACTTTAAACGTTAATAACTTTTTAACGAAGCCTCCATCAACAAATTGGTATTCTTGATTTTCGTCTTATTTTGGCCTCTAGAATCCCCCATTAAAATTTTTCCCAGGGGTGGCTGAACACCGTGTATACCAAAGAATGATTATTTAATTCATAATAATATGCCTGAGAATAAATAAAGAAGATACGTCTTTACATATTAATTGGGCAACTTTCAATTAAACGTTTATGAAATTCGTATACGGTGGCGATGGATTGTGAATCATTTTATACGATAGAAAATCTGACGTTTCGGTATGTTAGAAGTTTTGCGACTTTTCATCGTGACCCAAAATCTGACGAAAGGTTTTAGAAAGTCTCGTATACTCTGTTTAGTTTAAGAAACTTTTAATCATCTTCAACTTATCGCGAATGTTTCTCATACACGATAGAGAACGGTTTCTTTTTAACAACCTTCCATACAAAAAAGTGGTTTTTATTAGAAACAAAAGAAACTTATCCGAAAAGGGCGCAAAAGTAAATTTTTCATATAAAAACATACAGACGACTTAAATATTTTTTACTATTAATACATTAATTATCAAAATTCAACAACCGTAAGAATATATATCGTTTCTCTATCTTTTTAAATAAAAAGTATCCCCATTCGTGGATCGTAGTTCAAGAAGATCGCATAAATAAGTTATTTGGAGTTTCTTGACTTTGGGTCTAGTTTGATCCAAATTTGAATTTTATTATTTCGCATACCAGTACAAGGTTTCTGATTGAATTTTTTTGTTATCGTATTTGTATATTTTTTCTATATTAATGTCGTTATTATTTATTAAAAATCAAAACTTCACGAAGCAAAAAAAAACACTTTGCA